GCAGAACAGGAAAGTCCGAGTGGAACCTCTCGCTGAGCTGGAGACGGGCAGCGCGGATCCAAGGGATCAAAACATCAGGGACTTCACCCTTGGTGCGCAAGGGGAAGACCGTGGTGTAGCGCGAGTAGTCGTCAACAACTATCAAGAAGTACCTCTCGTGACCCTGTCCACGGACGGAGGGGAGCATAGTCCATGTGGAGGGTCTGCAGGGGAGCAGTCGTCGGGGGAAACGAGGAGTGAGGAGCGGCGCGCTGCCGCCCCTCGACACAGGGGAGACAGGGAGGAGCAGGGGAGGGTGGGAGGGGAGGGAGAACCCTGGGAAGACCAGAGACAAGGTACCGGGAGTGCATGCCACGAAGGCGCTGCACTGACGGGTGACCAAGGCGGTGGTGCCAGAGGACGGTCTCGTGCGACAGGGAGCGACACGAGCAGGGGGCCGACAGCTGACCTGACGCAGACGCAGATGCAGCTACCTGAGGGGACTCAGTGGTCAGTGTGTACAGGTCCGACCCCGGCTGCCGAGTGAAGGTAGCCAGGTGGCGACCCGTCCGAGCACACGTGCAGTGTGTCACGCGCTCGTAGGCAGGGGTGAACTGGTGGACACCCCCGTCCTGGAGCGCACGACCCGCCACCAAGTTCGTAGAGAACGAGGGGAGGTAGAGACCTGACAGTGTGCCCGACGGGACCGCAGGACAAGGGAGGACAGTGGAGGAGGTCGCAATGACCGGACCCCCAGAGGGGACAGCGAGGGAGACTGCAACCGGCCGAGCAAGCTGCTCAAGGGCAGTGCGGTCACGAAAGAAACAGCGGGAAGCACCTGAGTCCAGTGTGAAGGTGTGCAGTGCCTCAGTAGACGCAGTACCAGAGGGCGCAGACTCACGAGTACCTAGAGCAGCAGCCTCACCAGCACCTGGGGCAACAGACACACTAGCACCTAGAGCGGCAGCCGCACCAGCACCTGGGGCAACAGACACACGAGCACCTAGTGCGGCAGCCTCACCAGTACCTAGAGCAGCAGACTGGATACCTGGGTCAGGCGGCACACTCAGGTGACAGGCACCCTCAGCACTAGTAGACAATGCATACATGGCAGTGAGGAGAGCATCATAGTCAAGAGCAAAGATATCTACCCTCTGCCTAAGTAGCTCCAGCCAGGAGGGGAGCTCAGCGTCGTCGCCAAACTCTGTACGCCAAGCGTCGCTCAGACGGGCGAAGCAGCGGGACTCTGTGTGACTAGGTGTCCCGCAAGGCTGACCAGTCCGGACACCTGTGCGAATGACGTACGGGCAGCGAGCAGGACTCAGTGACCCGCTACTCTGAGCGTACCACTCACGAAGCTGCTGGGGCGAAAGAGCCTCGCGGGGATGACGCTGCAGCTGCACCTGGCCACTACCAGAAGCTCCCGAACTACCCACTCCAGAGTGACTCCCACGACGGCCACCCCGACAACCCCAACTAGCGTACCACTCACGAAGCTGCTGGGGCGTGAGGGACTCACGCGGACGGCCCTGGAGCTGCATCTGGCCACGCCAGGAGCAGTAGTAGTAGCAGTAGCAGCAGGAACAGCAGTAGTAGCAGTAGCAGTAGCAGCAGTAGCAGTAAAAGCAGTAGCAGCAGTAGCAGCGGTAGTAGCGCAGGCAGGGCAGTGCTCACCAGTGGTGGGAAGGGCAGGCGCAAGACGGCGGCGACAGCGGGGCCGCTACAGCTGCAGGGAGCTCCGCGGCAGCTGCTGCAGGGCAGGGCCACGACTGCGGCTAGGGGCTCCGCGGCAGGTGGTGCAGGGCGGGGCCGGGCCGCAACGGCAGCTGCTGCAGGGCGGGGCAGGGGCGGCCGTCCCAAGGGCGGGCGCGTAGTAGGGCAGGGGCGTCGCAACGAGGCGGGGGCGGCGCGACTCGGGTCGTGCGGGGCCGTGCGGGGCAGGGGGCTGCACGGGCAGGCCGCGCGAGCGGCTCGCGGGCCGCGCAGGAGCTGCGCGAGCAGCTGACGGGCCACGCGCGGGCTGCGCGAGCGGCTGACAGGCCGCGCGCGGGCGCGCGAGCGGTGGACGGGCCGCGCGCGGGCTGCGCGAGCGGTGGACGGGCCGCGCGCGGTCTGGGCGGGCAGCTGCGCGTGCGGCTGCGCGGGCGGGTGCATGGGCGGCTGCGCGTGCGACTGCGCGTGTGGCTGCGCGTGCGGTCGTGCGTGCGGCTGCGCGTGCGGCTGTCCTAGGGCGCACGACTGCGCTAGACGGCGGACGGGCGGCGCGCGCGACTGTCCTAGGGCGCACGACGGCGCTAGTAGGGGCGCTCGACGGCGCTAGAAGGGGCGCACGACGGCGCTAGAAGGGGCGCTCGACGGCGCTAGAAGGGGCACTCGACGGCGCGGGTAGGGGCGCATGACGGCGCGAGACACTATCAGACAGGGTCGCGCAAGGGCGCGGCGGAACGGTGGGCCCTAACCAACGTCGGTCCTAGGTCCTGACCTAGGCGTCGGATACCATGTTAGAATCTAGAAGTGAACGAGGATGAATGAACTAGGCAGCAGGGTGATACAAATATGAAACCCTAGCAATGTTGTACTCTCTAAGGCTAAACCCACTATAGCCTACACAATATAAACATGTATAATGTTTGACAGGGGACGCAGACAACAGAAGGTCCCGCACAGGCTTCATTTTCAAGCTTGAGCCTGCAGGAACAATCTCCTGGAACTCACAGAAGCAGGAGCTCATCGCCCTCTCGTCAGCAGAAGCAGAATTCATCGCAGCAAGTGCAGCAATTTGCGAAGGACTCTACCTCATGGAGCTCCTACAGGAAACGAAGACGGCGATGAACGGGTCCTTCAAGTTACTCTGCGACAACCAGAGTGCGATCAAAATCGCAAACAAGCCGGGCTTCGTCAACCGCACGAAACACATCGCCCTGCGTTACTTCTTCGCCAAGGACGAAATCGACAAGGGGGAGGTCCAGCTCACCTACTGCCCGACTGGCGAGATGACAGCTGATTTTCTGACGAAGAAACTGCCACGTCAGAAGTTCCAGTACTGCTCGGACCTGTGCGGAGTCGTCCGAAAGAGCCACGTGGCGCACCTCCAGGATTGAAGGGGAGTGTTGGAGTATGAAGGGAATCGAGTCTAAGCATTCCCGTAGGTGCAACTGTATTGCACCCATCATTATCGAAGCAGCGCTAGCAGCAGTATCGGATCAGCCCGTATCAAGGGCAGGAAGGTCAACAGTCGCAAGAGTCAACTGTCGCGACTGTTGACCATCTGGACCGACGATTGACTTACCATCGAGGAATGGCAACAGGCGTAACCGTGCGTACGGTTACACGCAGCGACTCGGTAACAAGAAAAGGTGCAAAAGTCAGAGTCACTGTAGAATTGCATGTAAAGCAGTTATAATAAGGGAATGTACCCCTCATAGTACATGGCTAGTTAAATCTATTTATTGTGTGTAATTTTATGTGTTAATCAACTTTGTCATCTACATTCACTATGATGAGTTCCTACAACAAAGACTTCCGCTACCAAACTCTTCTAAGGCATTCCTACTCGGTCCAAGATCCTTACTCTAATAGCCTTGTTACAATCGCGATGGCGAGACCTTTCAGCTTCGGCAAGGGCGCGGTATCCTGCCGCGGCCGCAGGTCAGTTTCGCGTACTGTAGGCGCTGCCTCCTGCCCAATTCGACCCTTCAGCTACCACGCGGGTCGCAACTGCTGTACGCGGTTGCGCCCCTGTAGCTCGATACTTGAGTCAACACCCTCGCTATGGCGAGGTTTGTTAGCACAGTTTGAAAGTGTACTTTAATATAAAAACACACAATCATATTCGCAACACTAAGGGTACATTCCTGCCTGGACATTTGTGTCTCAAAGCGTTTGTGAGGCGTAAAAACAACATATAACGTACAATGTCACAAACGCGTGTCGCCCTTGTGCGACCATTACTGTATTTTTTATTGGTCGGCGTGAAACGCGCTGACGTCGCGGACGAGTTGCATATTGACTCGTCACTGTCAAAAAGTCGCACGCGGTTCGAAATGTCAATGCACCTGGACACCCCACAATGCCAATCTCGCGCGGGAAAAAAATCCGCTCGTCGAAACCCCACCCCAGCCAGGCGGTTGAAGAAACAGGTATACAGTCATGTTTGAAATCCAATCAGATGTGCACATCTGTAACTTTCGCCTGGTCGCCCAGTTTCGAGATACATTCATTTTTTGTGATGCGAGATTGACAAAATGTTTCGACGAGACTCGGGAAAGAGGGGATTGAGACACAAATGTCCAGGCTAGAATGTACCCTAACAACCCTGTAAAATCAGTGTTTCACACCAGACGACACTGAAAATCAGTGTTACCCTCCTAGGGACACTGAGGGAACATTCCTGTGGGGACACTTGTGTCTCAATCCCCATTTTCCCGAGTCGCGCCTGTAAATTTACCCAATGTCGCGTCACAAACATCGAATGTACTGCGACGTAGGGCGACAGATTGGCAGTTACAGTTGGACACTTTTCATTGGCTGCGATCAAAGAGAAATGTACAGTTGTGTGCATTTGACTGAGTGACAGTACACCCGTTTTTTCAACCTCCGGGCAGGGGCGTGGTTTCGATGCGCGGGATTCCCAAAAACCAATCTGAGGCCCTGGTGTGGCCTAAATCGTTCCACTGACATGTCAGTGATAAAATAGGCCCTGGTGCCAGAGCGTGGGAGGGTGCGATTTTTAGAGTTTAGTACCTACCGGTACTTGAGGGTTTCGAACTACAATCAAGGAGATCATATCATACTGATGGGGACTGTTTGGCACCAAACCAGTTCTGCCAGCTAGGACAAATAAGGGCTTGTTGTATGGGTGCAACGGTTGCAACCTTGTTGGATGACATGTACCCGGATGGCTGTCAGCTCAATAAGCTAGGTACTGCAAGTGCCATTCAAATAAACCAAGTGCTACTCTGCCCGCCATGTCATTGGCACAACTGCCATTGGCCAGGACACGTTTGAGCGTGCATGCAGAGCTACCGCTGTGAGGGCACAGCAAGGGGTGGGGGGGGCGGGCGCAGCATGTGTTCGGCGTCGGTGTGGCGGCCGGCCTCGTGCAGGATGCGCGCCACCAGGCAGCGCGTCACGTGGTCGGGCTCGCACCCGCCCTGCCGCATGTGCTCCAGCGCACGCAGGGCCGCGCCGGGCAGGCCGGCCTTGGAGAGGGCGTGGATGAGCGTGTTGTACGTGACGGCGTCGGGGCGCAGCCCGTGCGCCTGCAGGCGCCGGAAGAGCTGCGCGGCGGGCAGGGAGAGGCCCTGCAGCCCGTAGGCCGCCATGAGGATGTTGAACGCCTGCAGGTCCGCCTCACACCCCGCACTCAGCATCCCCTCAAACACCCGTGCCGCCTCCTCCCACATGCCCTGCCTGCAAGCACACCAGCCATATACACACATGCCAGATAGGTACAGCGTTAAGTGAGGCCCATCAGCGCACTGGCAAAGGGGGGGGGGGTACAGAGCTGCCATAGAGAGGCCAGTCATGGGTGCGGCACGGCACGCACCTGCCGTAGGCCATGACGACAGCAGAGTACGCGATGGCGTTGGGCTGCACGCCGTGCCGCACCTGCATCGCCTGCAGCTCCTCCTCCGCCTGCTCCGCCTCCCCCGCCTCCGCCAGCGCCCTCAGCAGCGCCCCGCACGCCGCCACGTCAGCAGTGAGGCCCGCCTGCAGCATGGCGTCAAAGGCGGCGGCGGCGTCTGCAGGGCGGCCGGCGGCTGTGAGGGCCGCCATGAGCGCCGTGAACATGGCCTGTGAGGGCCGCACCCCCGCTGCCCCCGCCCTCTCGTACGTCTGCCCCGATGCAGGCAGTATGGAGGGGTGGTAGGGCCAGGGGAGAAGGGCATGGGTAGGGGGGTTAGATCAAGTGAAAGTGAGCGAGGGACAAGGTGAAGGCGGTTGAGAGCAACGGGTATGGGTGCATGGTGGCAGGTGAAGCAGCAGTGCCTCCGTGCTCTTCCTCCCTGCCAGCAGCACTGGCCCCTCCCTTCACCACCCACACAAGCTACGGTTGCACGCACACCAGTGCACAAGCAGCGCCGCGAGCATGAGGCGGAGCATGGGCTGGGCGCGTGGGGTGTGGGCGCGTGGGGTGTGGGCGCGTGGGGTGTGGGCGCGTGGGGTGTGGGCGCGTGGGGTGTGGGCGCGTTGGGTGTGGGCGCGTGGGGTGTGGGTGCGTGGGGTGTGGGCGCGTTGGGTGTGGGCGCGTTGGGTGTGGGCGCTAGGCATGGCAGCCAAGAGCGTACCCGGATGGCTCGTGGGGTGTGGGCGCGTTGGGTGTGGGCGCTAGGCATGGCAGCCAAGAGCGTACCCGGATGGCTCGTGGGGTGTGGGCGCGGCTGGTGTGAGTGGCGTCGTGGGTTGTGAATGAGCAGCGTGGGGAGTGAGCAGGTGCGGTGTGAGTGCTGGGCATGGCATGGCGTCTGCATACCCGGATGGCGTCGTCAGGGCGGTCCGCGCGCGTGTACATGGTCATCACCGCGCTCACTGTGTGCGCATCCGCCTCCACCCCCTCCCTCCTCATCTCCGCCACCACCCCCTCCGCCTGCCCCACACCACACCACACCACACCGCAGCGCACCACACACGTAACAGCGTGAGCAGGCAAGGAAGAGCCAGCAGGAACGCAAGCACGAGGGATGAGGGGTGGTGAGGGGCAAGGGCGTGGGGGGGAGGGAGAGGGGTGCGAAGAGCAAGGGCGCGGCGAGGGAAGCGAGTGAGTGAAACGAGCAAGGGGCGGCCGTCTGGGCGACGAGGCTCACCTGGGCGACGAGGCTCACCTGCGCGACGAGGCTCACCTGGGCGACGAGGCTCACCTGGGCGACGAGGCTCACCTGGGCGACGAGGCTCACCTGGGCGACGAGGCTCACCTGGGCGACGAGGCTCACCTGGCCGACGAGGCTCACCTGGGCGACGAGGCTCAGCTGGGCGACGAGGCTCACCTGGGCGACGAGGCTCACCTGGGCGACGAGGCTCACCTGGGCGACGAGGCTCACCTGGGCGACGAGGCTCACCTGGGCGACGAGGCTCACCTGCGCGACGAGGCTCACCTGGGCGACGAGGCTCACCTGGGCGACGAGGCTCACCTGGGCGACGAGGCTCACCTGGGCAACGAGGCTCACCTGCGCGACGAGGCTCACCTGGGCGACGAGGCTCACCTGCGCGACGAGGCTCACCTGGGCGACGAGGCTCACCTGCGCGACGAGGCTCACCTGGGCGACGAGGCTCACCTGGGCGACGAGGCTCACCTGGGCGACGAGGCTCACCTGGGCGACGAGGCTCACCTGCGCGACGAGGCTCACCTGGGCGACGAGGCTCACCTGGGCGACGAGGCTCACCTGGGCGACGAGGCTCACCTGGCCGACGAGGCTCACCTGGGCGACGAGGCTCAGCTGGGCGACGAGGCTCACCTGGGCGACGAGGCTCACCTGGGCGACGAGGCTCACCTGGGCGACGAGGCTCACCTGGGCGACGAGGCTCACCTGGGCGACGAGGCTCACCTGGGCGACGAGGCTCACCTGGGCGACGAGGCTCACCTGGGCGACGAGGCTCACCTGCGCGACGAGGCTCACCTGGGCGACGAGGCTCACCTGGGCGACGAGGCTCACCTGGGCGACGAGGCTCACCTGGGCGACGAGGCTCACCTGCGCGACGAGGCTCACCTGGGCGACGAGGCTCACCTGCGCGACGAGGCTCACCTGGGCGACGAGGCTCACCTGCGCGACGAGGCTCACCTGGGCGACGAGGCTCACCTGGGCGACGAGGCTCACCTGGGCGACGAGGCTCACCTGGGCGACGAGGCTCACCTGCGCGACGAGGCTCACCTGGGCGACGAGGCTCACCTGGGCGACGAGGCTCACCTGGGCGACGAGGCTCACCTGGGCGACGAGGCTCACCTGGGCGACGAGGCTCACCTGGGCGACGAGGCTCACCTGGGCGACGAGGCTCACCTGGGCGACGAGGCTCACCTGGGCGACGAGGCTCACCTGGGCGACGAGGCTCACCTGGGCGACGAGGCTCACCTGGGCGACGAGGCTCACCTGGGCGACGAGCCCGTGGTGGCCGAGCAGCGCGACGAGGATGTTGAACGTGCGCGCCGTGGGGCGCACGCCGCTCGCCTTCATCTCGCCGTACAGCGCCAGCGCCTGCCGACCGCCGCTGCTGACGCTTCCGCCGCTGCTGGCCCCTCCCCCCCTGCTGCCTGCGCCTTTGCCTCTCCCCCGCCCCTTGGCCCTCCCCCTACCCGCCGTGCCAGCGCCCGCCAGCCCCGCGCTCAGCATCGTGTTGTACGTCACCGCGTCCGGCGCCGGCGGCGGACCCCAGCTCGCCACACCGGGCCCATCGCCGTCGCAGTCGCCGCGGCCGTCGCTGCGCGCAGCAGGCGCTTGCGACGGCTGCGACGAGTGGTCGGGGGTGGCGCGGGCGGCGGATGGGGCAGAGGACGAGTGGGAAGTGGGAGGGACGGGAGGCGGGGACGCATCTGACGCGACGTGGGTGGGGAGCTTGCGGGGTGAGGAGTCGAGGGGACCGGCGGTGGGGACGGACGCGCTGGCACCGCCATTGGCGGCCAATTCTTGTTGCTGCTGCTGCTGCTGCTGTTGCTGCTGCTGCTGCTGCATGAGGTGGAAGAGCGTCCAGGCGCGTTGCGGGTGGCCGTGCGAGAGCCAGGCGTGCAGCATGGCGTTGAAGCCGTGCACCTTGTCGCGGAACGCCGCCGCGCGGAACCGCGCGAACAGCACCTCCGCCTCCTCCACCATGCCCGCCCTGCCGCCCCGCACGCGCCCAAGGGGAAAGCGGGTGGGGGGAAGTGCGGGAGAGGAGGAAAGGGAAGGAGTGCGTGGGCGGGCGGGGGGAGACGAGTGATGACGATACGCCATGCGCGTACACGCGTCAAGGGTCCTTTTCAAGCACGTTCGCATCACACTTTCACTGCTCCGCGATTGCCTTTCAGCAGCGTCAGTCTCCCATTGAGATCTACGCGCGTTCAGCACTTCGGTTCATTCCTTCACAAGACGCGCGCGTGATGCTGCCCACGTCTGCCTTTAACCAGCAACCCCGCATTCCGCAAGACCGCGCAACTCACCTGCGTGCGGTGTGCCCCGCGGAGGTTTCATGCCCGCAGCTCCATCACCGGCGATAGCGAGAGCTCCGCGTGGTATACCGCCGCCCTACCACTACGCGGAGGCCAGTGCCCGCCAACCGCGCCACCGCCATCGCTTTCCTCGCGCGACCACACGGTTGCTCACGGCGTACTGAGCAGATCTGTGACGTGGAAGCGGTGCGACGCGGGCGTACCTGCCGAGGATGCCGAGCATGAGCGTGTACGTGTGCCCGTTGGGCCGCATCCGCCCGCGCTGCGCGTCCATCCACTCGAACACCTCCAGCGACCGCCGCGCCTTGCGCTGCGCGCCGAGCTCCTTCACGACGCTCGACATCTCCACGCGCGTCGCGCGCCCCGCCCACGCGTCCAGCACGGCCGCCACGCTCCGCCCCTCCGGCACGCGCGCCACCTCCTCCACGATCCGCCGCTCCCTCTCGCGCACCTGCTCCGCCGTCCACGCCGCCTGCCGCGGCGTCTGCCGGCTCTTCCGCTTCGTCCACCGCGCCCGCTGATCTAACCTGCTCGACGCGCCGCTTGAATCGTGCGAGAGAGGCGCGACGCCGTTGGGGGGAGGTAAGTGAGCGGCTCCATTCGCCGGCAAGGAGTGGTGCGCCTCGCGCATGCCGCCGGCGGCGGGAGTTCCAAGAGTGGCCACTATGGCGCGAGAGTCCGTCTTGCAGACCGCCGCAAGGGACGACGACGGCCGCGGCAGAACCACGCGAGGGTGAGCCACCGATTTGGAGCTCACGTGCAGCGCTCGCGATGCGCACGCGGCAGCGTCGTCCGGCGCTGCCTGCTCATGGACGCGCGCGTCGACGAGCCGCGCGTCGCGCACGTCGCACGGCACCGCCTTGTCCACCTGCGCGCTCAGCTTCCGCGAAAACACCGCCGTCAGCACGGCGATGCGAGCAGTCGCCATCGCGCTCGGCTAGACGAAAATGCTTCCGACGCTTGACTCGATCGTCGCCCCGATGAATAACTAAGGAAGGAAGGAATATCGAAGTGACGGAGAATATCCAGGGAATCAAAGGTGTCTCAGTCTGACAGGGACAAGAGAGCAGAGAAATGGGGAGAACGGGGAAAGGAAGGAAAGGAAGTGTCTCCTCTCCACGTAACCAACTGATCCCCATGGAGCGGAGAAATCATGGATGGCATAACCGCGGGACGCGCCGCACAGCACTTCGGCCACTGGCACAAATGGGCTAACGTTCGTCGATAGTCAGTCCAGCGTGGATTGATCGGACGATCGAACGGCGATCAGCAGGTAGGGAATAACACGTCATCCGCTACAGAAACCCTGTCCACTAAGCTTCAGAGGCTGTGAGAAGCTTACCTATCCCCGGCTGAAAGACATCCATGTTCTGATATTAGCATAGCTGTCAATCAATACCTTAGATTCAAGAGGAACCTTCGATACATTGCTCCAACTGTGGGAAATATAATTGCTACCGTAGTTTTTCTATCTCTATGGAGGTACACAAAAACACTAGCCAGGTCTTCATATGTAAGAGTTCTCTGGCGCCCCTATTTTACTCTGTCGATACATAGTGCCAGTAATGATAACCAGCTGTGGCATACTGAGTGTGGCTACTGAATATTGTGGACGTATGATAACTTGTCAACTTGCTTGCCATGGGTTGACAACAGGTGCAATGATTGCACCTGTGTCAACTTGTCAAGTCAAGCACCTGTTCTCTAGGTAATTAGGTGGCATGAATGCACCAACCCAACCCCTGTATATTGGCACTTCAAACTTAAAAGGCACTCCTACAGTGAACACTGGAACATTGGCGACCAAGGCTTCCATTGCATCAAGGGATAGGGTGAAACAAAACAAGCACCCATGAGGGAGAGCACTGGCCATGCGGCACAGCAGAGCCATTTCAGAGGCAGCGGTGACTTCAGGCCTCCTCCACAACGTTGCCCTTCTCGCTCACGTAGATGCCATCCAGGAACTTCCGAATGTCCTTCTTCTTCACGTGGCACACCTGCACCCGGGGGGAGCACCGCAGCAACAACACAACAGCCCAAGTGGTTTGACCTCTCAGACTCAGGACAACCAATTGAAAGTCATTGTTTCCCGCATGCCACACCTGAGGGAGGAGGAGAGCAAGTGGCAGCAAGCGGTCAGTGAATCTGCGAATCGATTTTCTACAAGAGCTTTCGGCTGCCCTTGGTTGTTCGTGTGCGCACCAGTGAGAAAGGCCGGCATCAAGTGGTACAGATTCACCAAACCAGGAATCCTGACAGGGACCCCTACTTCCACGCCCTGACTAATGGGGGATCCGAATGGCAAGACTCGACAACAAGGAGAATCGGCAGAGCGATGGAACCACGAAGGCTCTACCCATTTCAAAACAAAACGCGGCGTGCTTGTGTGAAATGGGACTGGTGATGGTTCGCAGCCAGGTACGGGTGACAGTCCGCTCTGAGTCGTGGCGATTCAGCAATCTGGAACCCTCCCGTGCACTCGAAGGATGGGGTGGTGAGAGGTGGATGGCAGTGCATGAAACCCTAACCGCTGATAGCGGCGACAGGAGGAGCGAGTTGCAAGCGCATCCTGTAGACAGGCAAAGGCGTTCTGCACGCCTTTCCCTGTCGCATCGCCGCGCCCCATGAGATGGTGCGGGAGGGACGAAGGGTGGTGCTGGTTGACCAGGGAGAATGCGGCCACACGGGGCTGGCATAGTCGATGCGCGCGACACAACGGAGCGACGGAGAGGGCTGACCTGCTTGATGCGCGCTGGGAGGCGGGGAGGGCTGACCTGGTTGATGCGCGCGGGGAGGGCTGACCTGGTTGATGCGCGCGCGGAGGGCTGACCTGGTTGATGAGCGCGCGGAGGGCTGACCTGGTTGATGAGCGCGCGGAGGGCTGACCTGGTTGATGAGCGCGCGAAGGGCTGACCTGGTTGATGAGCGCGCGGAGGGCTGACCTGGTTGATGAGCGCGGCGGAGGGCTGACCTGGTTGATGAGCGCGGCGGAGCGGGAGACGAGCTCGATGTCGTTGCCCTCGAGGATGAGCTCGTCCTTCACCTTCTCCGACCGCGTTATCGTCACGCCCTCCAGCATCGCCACCTTGCGCACCTGCCAGCACCCGGGGGAGCGGGAGGGGGGACGGGGGAAAAAGAGACGGTAAGAACAAGAGGGGTGAGGGGATAAGAGAACCGTCAGCACAAGTGCGCACCCAACAGCAGGCGACAACCGCCTAGAGCACCTGACGCGCATCGTTTGCACCTTGCGCCCCTCCGGAGATTGCGCGAGTGACGGGGAAGGTGGAGGTGGAGGTGGAGGTGAGGGGGAAGGGGAGGGGGAGGGGAGGTTAACTGGAGGGGGAGGGGGAGGAGCGGGGGAGGGGAGGGGGAGGAAGGCGAACGTAGAGGGTTTCAAAGACCTGTTGAGACGCCGAATCCCGTAGGGTCCTTCACCTCGGCCCAAAAACGCCTCAATCTGAGACCAGGCAGCGCACATCCACGAGACGAATTATCAACACTAATGCGGATAAAATCGGGGTTGCGGCCCTGCGGAGCCTGGGAGGATGGATGGAGGCACGCAGCTGCACCATCGCCTTGCCGCTGCGCACGTGGAGTTCAGTCAGCCCAGCCTCGCACCATGCAGCTCCGCGTCTTAAACCGCGCCTTAAACCGCGTGTTAAATCCCCAGCCATGCACAGTATCGCCTTCCCGTCACACTAAAGACTGCGTCCGAGACTTTACCACTACAAGCTCCGTCAACACACTAAAAGCTCCACACCACAAGCCGCGTCACTACAGACTGCACTGGCTCGAGCTAACTCCTCAACTCCTGCTACCATTTCAAAAATTGCCGTTCCCTCGCGTGGCAGCCCCTCAAACCAGCCCGAACACCTGCGCGTTCTCAGGCCTGCTTTCTCCCAAGCCTGCTCTTCCAAACCTGACTATTCTCGCCTTACCCAGGCCCACCGTCGCACCGATACATCCATTCCGCTCCGCATTCGTCCAAGAAACACATCGCGCAATAAATCGAGTTTACCTTCGTCCACTAAAGTTAGGTCTGCTAAAGCTACATCGTCCTTCGCCGGCCGCCGTTGCAAAGCATCCCGCGTGCCCGATTGCTGCGAAAATCGTCACACTCTCCACCGGCGCGCGGCTTTTGCGAACCAAGCAGCTTCGTTCCCGATTGAGGCGCGACGCATAAGACCTGACCTTGCCACCTAGCTACAGCGCGACGTCCCTGAAGCTCACACCGCCACACGCCGCGCGACCAGGAAAAACAGCACCTGTTTGCCTCTTTTTAGAAGAATCTAGGGGAAAAGCGGTTCTTCGGAAAGCGATGCTTGGAGTGCCTGTGCGCGAGTCAGAATGCTTCGCCCAGTTCGTCAGCTGCATGGCGCGGTGCCCCATAGACGACGATCGGAACTCCCCGGCACTGCTGTGCCCATCTAAGGTGACGGGGGGGGCATTGATGAATCTCTCTCGGCGAGCTGGCGGGGAAGGGCACAATCGAAAGCCCGGTTGGTCTCTAAACGATACGACTGACGCCTGCGAGGGCTGTTCCGAGAAGAACCCGCGGTTAGCAATGCGGCAGCACACCGTCACTAGCTCCCTGACCCGCACTGATCGAACTAGGTCTTTCGATCCAAAGCAAGATGAGGAGTATTTATCGCTGACAGGGCGCGCGCGCAAAGAATCACTGTGGGGACGGAGAGGCGGGAGCTTATGTCAAAGGCGCGCAAGAGCGCAGAAAAGGTATCGCTACTGGAAAATGGCATGCGGGTGAACATGTGAGAGAAGAGTAAACAGGGGGAAGCGCGTGCCGACGGAACATGGACTTCCAGAATCCATTAAGCTTCTTTTCCCGCCAATTGCACGTCGCTCTTTGAGGCTCCCGTTTTCCCGCACATGTTAACCCGCCCGCGGCTCACCTTCTTCTCGCCCAGGAAGTTTCGGATCTCAATGTTGTCGGCGGAGCTGCTGATGCTCGAGTTGATGGGGAAATGAGCGTACACCAGGCGCATCTTGTACTTAAAGCCCGCCGTCACGCCCTTGATCAGATTCTGCACGTGGCTGATGGCCGTTCTAATCGACGCCATCGTCTTGCGCGTGCCGAACCACGCATCGACCTTAAGCTTCGTCCCCTCCTCGACGATTTGGAAATCGAGGTTCAGGTGACGGAAGTCCCTAAACAGCTTGCCACGTGGCCCAGTCACGCGGACCTTCTTCGCCTTAATCTCCAGCTTCACGTCCTTAGGAATGTCCATCGTCTCGGACGCTAGGATCGTCTTCATGCTGACGTAAGCCCTGAGGGCGCTCCGAGACTAAGTGTGGAATTAGCGGAAGGGGGGAGGGAAAAGGAGGCTGATTAGGGAAAGGGGAGACTAAAGAGCAGGGAGAAGGCTTTCAGGGCGTGCAGCGCAGGGGGAAAGGCGACGGGATCGAGGGAGGAAGGCCCAATGGTGTGCAGCTCCAAAATGAGCGCGCAGGCAGGCAGAGCGGAACGGCTGGGGGGGAAAGATTGATAGTAGGCTGGTGGTAAGCCACGAAACACTCGACAGTTACGGAAACCCTGAATTGCACTTACAGCACGAATGATTTCATAATAGGCCAATAAGAAGGTTAGCTTCAGTACCATATTCCAACATCCTTAACTTCACTGGAACATGGATTCACTAGGACACATTTGTACGCCCCACATGCGAGCATGATCCATCTATGTTGGCATCAATGTTAGTACCGTAGCATACATCCATATCTACTGGGTACTGTGCCCAAGATCTACTTATTACTGACACTCTCAACAGTCAAAAAGTTATACACTACCTATATGCGTTTTAGGAAGTTATCCAGGTTGTACTCCTCTGCGTACTGCGACTCATCCCAGAGATCTTCCAAGCCAGTAAGCACAGCTTTCAGTCCCTTCCCTCCTCCAGCTGCTGCCACAGC